CACATGCACCTGGCGTGAATTTAAGCCACTGGGTCCAGGACTCAAACCGCAATCAATTACATTGGAGTCCAGCGACATAGCCATTATGCCAACTGCTGGTCTCATTTGATTTTTTTTAATGGTGTGTATTTCCTCTTTTAGATCTTACAAGTATTTCCTCGCCTCCTCAAACTCATCAGCTCCTTTCTCCTGCCTCTTCTGCAGTTCATTGTCTCTCTTCTCTTCCATCTCTGTTAGCTTTGTTACTATGAATATTCTAAATTCTTTATGTGACATTTCCATGAGTTTCATTGTGCTGTCTGAAGATGAAGAGGAGTTATTCTTTTCTCTTAGAGGAGAGGTATTTTCTTGCTTTCCCATATTTTTTGTGACCCTGCAGTGATTTCTAGTCATCTGATAGATGGTGCATTTCTTCCTAATTCTTGAAGTTCAATCTGAGCATTCAGAGGTATGCAGGAGGAGGTGATCTGCAATCTCACTTCCATTCGATTTTCACTATTTGTGCATCAGATTCAGTGGGAATAGAGGGATATTCTGATCCTAATCATACTCAGATGTTTGGATCCTGTTCACTAGGACCTGTCTAGACACAGCCTCATGCTCAGCCTCTATGCACTAAGTGTCTAGAGAAAAAAGGAAAAGAACTAGAGAAGAGGAAAGAAGAAGAAAAAATAAAATTAAAAAGAAGAAAAAAGATAATAAAAATAACTTCAGATTTTAATTTTAAAATGCAAAAAACAAAAATGAGATTCCAGAGAATACCTTTAATTTTTTTTTTTAATTAAAAGACACAGGAAGACACAGAGAGACAGAGAGAAATGGAGAGAAGGAGACAGAGGTAGTCCTCCCCACTAGAAATGAATCTGGAGGGAGAAGTCTCAGCAAAAAATCTTCATTTTTAGTCAAGGAAAGCAATATTCCATAGCTCAAGTTTGATAACCATCTTAATGACAAACTACTTTTCAACTCTTGACAGATTATCTCTGAGAGTTCACCATCTTGTCTCCACTATTGGCCTTTTATACATTTTCTTTGGAAAAATATCTATTCAATTCCTTTGCCCTTTTCTTTTTCTTTCTTTTTTTTTCTCCAGATTTTTGCTTTTCTTTTTCTTTCTTTCTTTTTTTTTTCTCCAGATTTTTGCCACGGTGCACATGTACTTGCTGGGGAAAGAGAGAGACAGAGAGAAAGGGAAAGTGAAAAATCACCCCCTGGGGAGATGGCCATGCTATAGTCCTTTCTCCATCATGCCTCTCTTGGGATTTGGAGCATGCACATTGATGCATCTGGCATGTTTTTTGAGTCATCAGGTCTGAAACTCCAACAGCAGAGTTGCCCATGTGGGATCTACCATCTCATCCACCACACCACCTGCTAGCCCCCCCTTTCATATTTTTAAATTGAGTTATTTGTCTTTTTATTGTTGAATTGTAAGAGTTCTTTATATTTTCTAGATATAAGACCTTTATCTGCTAGATGATTTTCAAGTCTTTTCTCCTATTCTGTAAATCTTCTTGTTTTCTTAATAGTGTCCTTCACAACACAAACTTTTTTTTTTTTGAGAGGTTGTTTTGTTTTGTTTTGTTTTCACTATAGGGTGCGTGCACTCGCCAGACAGAGAGAGACAGAGAGACAGAAAGCAAGAAATCACCCCCCAGGGGGCATGGCCATGCCGCGATCCCTTCTCCTCCATTCTCCTCTCGGGATCTTGGGCACGCACGCACAAATGCCTGGAGTGAGTTTTAAGTCACCAGGTACGGGATGCAAACCGCAGTCAACTACATGGGAGTCCAGTGACATAGCCATTATGGTAACTGCTGGTCCCCAACACAAATTTTTTTCATTTTGGTGAAATTCAATTACTCTATTTTTCCCTTTGAGCCTACAGATTCTTTAGATATCCATTCTGAGAAGTAAAGGAGGGTGAGAGTAGGGACAAATGAAAAAAAAAATAACAACTTTCCAAGTTAAAGTAATATAAAATTTATTTTGAATTTGCCTTTCACTAGACAGTCTGATTTCTATTGGTGGAATCAAACCAAGTATGAATCACATACAAATCATCATCTACTGCATTTAGCCGAATGAATCTAAGGAGTAGAGTAATAGAGAATATCAACCTAGAGGAAACCAATTACTATTTATACCATTTTAAATGATTTATCGATTGCTTAAGCACATCTATCAAAATCTAAATAGAATATTTCAAATCAGCTTTATATAAAAGCTACACTCCATAGAATGATTTCTGAACTGTGAAATCTGATTTTCGGATCTAGCATCTTAGAGTATTAAGACTGGATAGATGTCTATGTGAACAGTCACTCCATTTTCTCCAGAGGTTTATATTCGAATCATATGCATACATTCCAAGGAATGTAGGATCCAGGTTCATCTCTTGGAATCTAGAATAAAAGAACAAATTTGGGTGTTTGTGACTTGGAAAATGTGTGTGATTTAGAGGAAAAATGGCAGAGCATACAGTGGGCTAAAAACTATCAGAGGGCCACCAGGACAATGACAAGTCAGGGAACAACAGCATGTGAATTGTGCAAGAATCCAAGAGAGATTTAGTGTGGGGGGGAGGGGGGAAGGTGTTGAGGGAGTTATTAGGAGTTACCTCACACTTGAGGAGGGTAGAGTCAGTCTTTGCTTTTCCAGCGTGGAAGAGTTGATTTGTGGTGGCTTAGGGAATAGCACAAAGTATACCACAAAGGGCCAGCTTGAGCAGAGGGATCTTCCCCTCAATATAAGGAAGATCTTTATTTTTGCCAGATGGATAACTATGGACATGGCTTCCTTTCCCAATTAGAAAGCCCACTCTGAAAATACCTAAAGGAAATCTGAGATGTTTGCTCAGCAGGGATGTTGTTGCAGAAGGGACTCCTGCTATAAGCCCTCTTCAGGTGCCTGTTTGGTGTAGGGAGTGGAGATAGACCTGGAGTGGTCCATATTGTTGGCCTGGTCACCTTAAGTTCAGAGCACAGCTCCTAAACTTCTATTCTTTTCTCAGATGCCCTAGGAAGGAACATGAAACTAATGGGGAATGAACCTTCCTTTTTTAAGGGGTATTGAACTAAGACTCACTACAGGTCAATCAGGGTCAGGCTGATGAAAAATTGTAAACCCAAAAGGGTACAAGTTCAAGGCCCATTCTGCTCTTGGGCTCACATGCCCTCAGGATCCTGCCGCCTCTCTCCATGAAAAACTACAATAGGATAATGATACTTGACCACAAGGACAGAGGCCCAGAATTCAGACTTGTACAATTGTTTTTTCTACTGGGCTGAACATACCATTTTTGTGAACTTGTCTTCACAAGCCATTCTAATCTTCTCTGGGGTCAGTGGGCTGTGGAGCTTCAATGGTCCACACAGGCCTCTCTCTTGGCGTGCTGCGCTCACAGCATCGCGGATGGCAAAAAACACTGAACATCCCAGGAACACCGCGGACTCTCCCAGACCCTTGAAGGAAAGCAAAGTGAGCTAGATTGTGACTCTCTCTCTCACTATGTATCCACGTTTGTACATATGTGTGTGCATATACATCTGGATGTGCGTACACATACAGCTTGAGTGTTCTTTATCTTAAAAGCTTGGGACCAGAAGTGTTCTGGATTTTGAATTATTTTGAATTTTGAAATACTTGCATATACATAACAAGGTGTCTTGGGGATGGGACCCAAGCCTAAACATGAAATTTATTCATGTTTTATATATACCTAAATACATAGCCTGAAGGTAATTTTATACAATATTTTTTATATTATAATGATTTGACATGAAGTTAGATGTGGAATTTTCTACTTGTGGCATCATGTAGGTGCTCAAAAGTTTTCAGTCTTTGGAGCATTTCAAAGTTTTGATTTTCAGAGTAGGGATGCTCTATCTGCAGTATGCATACATAAAAATAATATATTGTGAGACACAGATACAGATTATTAGCTGTTGATGATGACATGTGTAGCATTCTCAACTGGGCTGGACTAAGATGTATATCAAGCTGGGTAAAGTCTCTTTATAATCTAAATGATGTATAGAGCTAGAATGTATAATAATAATAAAAATAATAAAAATTAAAAATTAAGAGTTCCAGCAGCTCGGGCAGCAGGAGGAGCAGTATCTTCTATCCGCGTTCAGCTCTGCAAAGGCTCTAGGCATGCTGCAGGCTCATCAGGCACCCAGCATGCACCCTGTTCACAGCCAAGATGCCCAAGAGAAGGTCAGCTCAGCTGAGGGGGTGGCCAAGGAAGAGCCCAAGAGGAAATCGGTGAGGTTGTTGGCTAAACCAGCTCCTGCATAAGTGGAGACGAAGCCAAAAAAGACGGCAGGGAAGGATAAATCTTCAGATAAAAGAGCACAAACAAAAAGGAAAAAGGGAACAAAGGGGAAACAGGCTGAAGTGGCCAACTGAGACACTAAGGAAGATTTACCTGCAGAAAATGGAGAAACTAAAAATGAGGAGAGTCCACCCTCTGATGAAGTAGGCGAGAAAGAAGTCAAGTCTGAGTAATATCATATACCATGTCTTATCAATGGTCCCTGTCTCCCTTCTTGTACAGTCCAGAGGCATATTTTTATCAACGATTTTGTAAATGCAAGTTTTTTAGTAGCTCTAGAAACATTTTTAAGGAGAGAATCCCACCTTGTCCCATTTTTTAAGAGTAAATGCTTTTTTTTAAGAGGTGAAATAATTTACTGGTTGTTTATTTTTCAGTACAACCAGAAAATAGTGGGATATTGACTTATAGGAGGCTTTGACTCTCTTGCCTGTCAGCTTAACACTCCATAGGTGGGGGCGGGTGGGTAGATTTTATATTCTAAATACAAAGCATATCAAAGGCCTTAGAGTCACAGTCATGCATTTAATGTGTCTTCAATATTTTAAATTACTTCTATTATGTTTTTTAGTAGTATTGTTTCCTAAAGAAAACCACTCTTTGATTGTTGCTCTCCCTGTCAGAATTGTGTGCACTCTGTAACATCTTTGGTCATGGTAGTCCAGTTTTCCTAATAATTTTGTTAATGTGCTGTTAAAGATTGGAAATTTGAGTATGTAGTGTGTATGATACTAAAGTGTGATTTGGTGGGACTTACATAACAGCGTTCAACATTTGAAGACAGTGGTTCTTGGTATCCTCTTAAGGAAAATCTGCCTACAAATTAGAAGCTGGAATGTCACCTCTATAACTTGAAAAGAATCACTATACCTGGCTTTTTAAATTTTTGGTATGTATGTTAAGAATTGGGCACAAATTGAAATGTCTGTACTGATCTTCAGCACAACCAATAAATTTCAATTACAAAAAGAAAAAGAAAGTAAAAAAAATATATACTATATGTAGTAATAATATATACTATATGTAATTTTTTTATTTTAAGAAGTAATTTAACCATTTTATTCAATATTCTCACTGTAGGCTAGAATTCTAGCTTAATGAAATGATTCTAAGTAGAAAAAGCAGATACAGTCATAAAGATAATTACTGCAAAACAAAAATGCAGAAACAATCTAGTGGCAAAAGGAGCCCATGTTAGGTTTCAAGATCTAGAATAGTTCCATTTAAAAAATCATGGTGTTACTTTATCGTTAAAATGTTTCAAAGGGTTTTTGGGGGCTGGCAGGTGACATGGTGGTTAAGGTGCTGGACTCCACATGGCCAACCATGGTTTGAGTCCCAGACCTGGTGGCTTGCTTTCTCCTTTTTCCTTTCCTCTCTCGGTCTCTCACTGGTCAAATTAAAAAAAAAAAATTAGCAAATAAAATTAAATAAATCTAAAAAGGAAAATAAGTGTTTTTCCCTGTAATCTTGGTAAAAACAACTAAAAGACGAATGATGAATGTTGCCCTGCCCTGACCCCACAGCTGTCCTATAAATATGTATAGCTTACCTTGGAAGAATACAGGGTATTCGAGTTTTTGGATGGAGGCAAAAAAGAAATGTGCAACTCAGTGGGAACATCACAGATGGCAGGAATTTTATATTGATTTGGGCCACGACTGTACAGAATGCCCTGAGGAGAATAATTCAGTTCTTCTATTGTATAAAGTCCCATGCCTTGAATAAATGCTCCTTCGATCTGAGGTAAAAGAAAACATATAGGGAGAATTTCCACATATGAGAAAATACGGTCAATAGTAAGTAGCATTTCAGATTCATGCTATTTGTTTGAATTTTTAAATTACAGTTTCAGAGTGTTTTTAGAGTGTCTTGGAGCGTGTGACTGGAAGTTTACCTAAAGGCATTTCTAAACAGCACTAAGTTCAGCGTCAAAGGACTTAGGTTCTAATCTGAGTTTGGTTATCAAGATGACAGCTCCAAGAGGGTCCTCATGGAGCCTATAGCCCAGGTACCCTCAGTTTTCCTGCCTACGAGACAGATGAAATCCTCACTGACTGTTTGTCCCAGACCCCAGCACACTAGTGAAAGGTTCTCAGTCCCCGAGGATCCCTCCTCCTCATCCCACTATCCTTGCTCACAAACTGGCTGGCCTCAACCTCGACTCAGTTTCCTGCTTTGTAACATGGAAGGATTGAACTGTGTGCTTTCTAAGCTCTCTTTACAGCTTTAAAATACTTCACTTCTTAGATTTGGGCATGTGGCCCAAACTGCCTTCCCACACCTTTCTTTCTTTCTTTCTTTCTTTCTTTCTTTCTTTCTTTCTTTCTTTCTTTCTTTCTAAACAAAGATAAAATGAACAAGTTTCCAAAAAAATATATAAACATATTGTAACTAAAGCCATAATAAGAAATAAAGACCTGACCAGACCCATTATCTATCTTTTTTTTTAAGGTTTTTGCCATAGGATGTGAGCACTCATGAGAGAGAGAGAGAGAGAGACAAAGACAGAAAGAGAGAAACAGAGTGACAGTGAGAGGGAAGTGAGAAATCACCCCCTAGAGGGGATGGCCACCCTGCAATCCTTTCTCCATTCTCCTAGGACTTTGAGCCCTTGCACATATGGGCCCAACACGAGTGTCAAGCTGCCAGGTCTGGGACATAAACCACAATTGGCCCTATGGGACTCCAGCTCCTTAACCACTGCACCACCTCCTGGTACTGCCACATCCTCTTCTGATTTCTTTGGTCTCTTCTAACTTTACTTCCCTCCTGTTCACCATCTCTCATTCTGCCAGTTAGCAAGGATCTACCTGAATGCTATCTATTGATAAATGCTCCTAAAACTCCAGGTCATTCCCAGGCTGAGCTACCTCCACCCACTAGGTGCCTGTGTTTGGAGAGCCTCCATCAACATGGCCCTCTTATGCTCTAACTCCAGACTTTTAGCCCACACCTCTGACACAGGTGGTATTTTCATCAGCCCCAGCCTCATCTCTAGCTGTGAACACAATGCGTGCAGAATTACATGTCTGTCTTTTGGTTGATTTTCTCTACTCTTCTTCTACCCAGAACACCTTTTTGTTTTCTTTCCTTGACAACCTGGTCCATATCCTCTTCCCTCCTAAAGCCTTCTTTGACTTCTCCACTGCTCAGATTCCCACTGTCCAATGGCAAGTGTCATTACTGGAGAGGAGGTTAGAGTATGCTGTAAACTGGAGGTAGTGAGCCGAACCACCCATAGGCTGGAGGCAGGTAAAGCAAATGTGTGAAGGTTCCAGGCGGGTCCTGTGTCATTGGAGAGTGTGTGACTCTAAAGATCTAGCCAACAGACTTGCCTTATGCAAATACAAGTCTGGTATTAGCAAATTTTCTATGTTTTCAAGACAAGCGAGGTATTCGTGATTTTTTTCAATCTTGACAATTACTTCAAATTTAAATTAAAAAATGCCTGAGGGTAGAATTCAGCCCACAGGCTACCTATCAATGACTAGTGCTCTAATTATTGGAGGTTTGTTATCCTAACCCAATTTTAAACTGCTTGAAGCTAAAGCTTGTGGTATGCCCAGGGCTTAGCACTCAATACTCGCTCTACTTCTGTCCCAGAATTACAGGGCTCTAAGCTTGGTCTTGCTTCACTCAAGCTCCCCAATTATAGACTATATGTTTCTTTATAAACTACCTAAAACACCCGTGTTTCCTTTCCTTTCTTAAATAGTAAGAAATTTGAGTTCTGCAGCTAGACTGGGTAGAGAAATCTTGACTACTGAAGCAGAAGATCACAGACTGTTTTCCAGGTGGAATGTTTTCCCTGCAGGCCCCACAGCAGTTTAGACCTTTACAAAGAGGAATCAAGACAAATTAGTTACACATACCTGGCCTATGTCCAGGGCTGGATTTATACTGCAGCCAACATCCATAACAATGTCTGTTCTGATATTCTAGTAAAAAAAATAAAAATAAAAAAAAGTTAAATTGTTCATTTTAATGAAGATGACTTGGGAGCTAAGAAACAATTCCTGCCAGGCTGGCATTGGTATAAAGCCTTTCTTTGGGCCACGTTATTTCAGAAAAAAAAGAGCAACGAAGATTTTAGTATGTGATAAAGTGCATTATGTAAGACTTACACATCTATACAAATACTCTGAACCAGATTAAGCACTACTAGTTTTACTCCTTTGAAATAAATTGTGAAAAAAGTTTTGCTTGATTCTGATCCAAGTAGGATGATGCAACAGACTGAGTTTAACCAACTACCACAGACCTCCATATGACATAGGAAGAGAAACACCTCTGGCCTCATACTCCTTGTTGAAAACTTCTTAGCTACAAACAACCTAGCCTCCAAGTCCATGCATGGGTGACTGATCCATGTTTACTGAACCGCAGAGTTCAGAGTAAATCAACAGAAAAGTCTTTGAACTGTCATCTGCAGTTCTAGATTTTTCATTTGCAGAGTAGGAAATAAATCTGACATAGTAACTTGCTGTCAGATAACCTCCAAGTGAGAAGAAATTCAGCAGG